GAGTCTGGAATATGTAGTGGCCATACGCCTGACATCCATAGGCAGCTTAATGATATTTTCAAAGATTTTGGAAGGCAGAGCTAAGTCAGCAAGGTTTTAAGCCTTAAGTGTATCGACGATCTTTTCCTAATTGGTACACGGCTTTGAAAAACCAGTGTGTTTAAAAGAAGTAGTCACCATTATCCTTATTTCCTATAGAGTTTGGAACGTGCATTTGGTTTTGAATGTCACGTAAGCTCTTGACTAATATCATAACAGAGACACACTGATTCATGACAAGTTTCCAAGTAGGAAATAGTAGCATAAAATCTTAAAATGTAGTCTCTTAGAAAAACGGCAAGTAAAAAGTCAATAATGATGAAATGTATATAAGATGCTAATTAGCATTGTAATATTTACTAGTTTAAAAAGAAATAGACTTTGAAAGGAAGGCAGAAAGAAGATATTATATCCATAGACATATGTTAAAACATGTTATTTTACACATATGTATCTATATGTACAGTTTACTATGTACAGAAGATTTTTTAATAGACGATGCTAGTTTTGTAGCCAGCTGTATATTATAAAACGTGCTCGATAAAAGTAAATGGCAGAAAACTGAACTTTACTAAAGCAGCTGTTAGCATCTTGAAGCCGGAAGGTAAGCTGCCATTTTTCTATCTCCTTATCGTGCTAAAACGCTGAGTTACCTCGGACCATCTGCACAGAGTTAAGGGTGAGACTCTGTTGCCCACAGCTCAGTACATGTTTGTTGATTTTCTGTGGTCATTTTAAAGACTCATACAGCAGTAGGAGTATTAGTGATAGTTCAGAGTTCATGGAAAAAAAATCTCTCAATCTAAAGGTTCCAAGAAACGGAGACATAGTATCTGTCTATGCCTGTTCTGGTTATTAATGGCACCGCCGATTTCCAAACGGGAAAATATGAAAATCTGAGACACCCGACACCAGGAAAAATTCGCTCGCGTCCCATTTTTAGCCATGTTGTCAGGGAGTGTCGGTGACTGAAGACCCTGCTCATTCTAGGAGACTCCTGTAACTCGCTATAATAGGGATCTCCTATGAAACGGAGCTACCAGGAGGGTGCAGTTTCTTTTTAAAAATGATCACTAACAGATGCCACCGAGATCGCGGCTGCTCACCCTGACTCCATCGGCTTTTGGGAGCACTTGGTCCTCTGTCTGGGGACTGTCCTGTACACTGTGGGACGTGGGACAGCACCCTTGCCTCCGCCCGCTCATTGCCAACCCCCCCACCCCACGCAGCTGTGATGACTAAAAACATCCCCAGACATTGCCAGATCTTCTCTGGGGGCAAAGAAGAATCACTGACTTAGATGAATTCAATTACTGCTTTGCCCAGTTCTTTTGATTGGTTTTAAATAGAGCCTTTTAAACAGGATGAATTAAAACCATATTAAAACGCTATGGAGTATTCTTCCTTTGAGTCAAGATTAATAATTTATTACTATATATCTGGATTATTTAAATGTATTAAAACATAGGAAGGACATACATGGTGTTTCCCCTTAAATAATCTGTATTATTTAAAATAATTTAATTAAAAGATTTTGAGTTGCTGCAATAGTATGTGAAAACGAGTCTCATTTTTGATACGCATTGCACAATTTTTTTCATCAAGAATAAGCCTAAACAAATAAAGTTAATTAGGAAACGGCCATTACATTTTTTTAAACTAAAGTATTTTGTCTCTTTAGAAAAACCTGAAAATCAGTATAGATGTAATAGATTTCTTGTGGTTGTTTTCATATAACGTATCTCAAACCCTAAGATTTGTATTTTGATGGAAATATGCGTGTGATATTAGTGACTCTTTTATAAGAGAAATGATATTTTCAAATTCATAGGTTTATAATTTCTGAGATGCGTTTTCACAAGGCAGGCTTTGCTCACATAGAAAAGAATAACAATGCAAGAGCATAGTAATATATTATCACTGAACACTGTATTCTAATTATTCATAAATAAAATACTAAAAAGTGCTCTGCTAGGAAAATCACATATAGGCCTTTCGAAGCCAGAGATCATCAGCCAGATTTAGAAAAATTCGGGCCACAGACCTTTGGCAGTCTCCTCGATATTGTTCATACACACACACACACACACACACACACACACACATACACACACACACAAACACACACACACGCACACACACATACACACACACATATTTTTTCTATGGCTTATGAAAAAAGAAGAAGCATTTCCATTATGTTCTGTTTCTTTTGAAGAATTCCCTGAGGAATTCTTCTAAAGTTGAGGCAAATCAGCCTACACAAATACATCCATTTACAATCTCCTTGGAAACTAAAATTGCTAACCAATTCAGGCAGCAAGCAGCAAAATGTTTTCTCCAGGTTTTGTCGAAGAGAGAACACACACACATACACACACACACACACGCAAGCATACAGCACACACAAGCACTTAAAACTAATCATCTTCTGGCTTTCATCTTCTCTCCATAAAAAAATCTCCACTCGGATCAGCCAGATCGATCCTTCGCGAGCTTAACTTAAATCTTAAAATCTTCTGTTCCACACTGTTGAACTTCTCACATTAAAATCCAAGCTCACGGTCAGGTGAGCAGTGAGCGCGGGGACCGCCCCTGCGCTCCCCGGTGCGCGTGCCCGCCCGCACCTGCTGCGCGGCCACCCACCGCCTCCTCACGCTGCGCAGGCCCTGGCGCCGCTGGGGACCAGAGCCAGGCGCGCTCCTGCCCCGGGGCCTTTGCCCGCACCATCCTGCTCAGGGGCTCCTCCTAAGCCCCCCTCCCGGGCCGCCTTCTCCAGCCACCGTACGCAGACCAGCACCTGCGCGTCACTCCCCGGGGCCCTGTCCTGACTCACTTTGCTCCCAGGTCCTTGACGACGCGCTGAGACCTGGACGGCTGCTGTTGAGAGCGCGTCTTCACTCCGTGCCCCCCGATTCCTCGGGGCCGCCCAGAACTCAGCCAGCCTCCCTGCTGTTTCTCCCTTCCCATCGAGTGGATGGCCCCCACATTTCCCGGGGGGTTAGATCACTCTCGACAAACCTCTATTCGGCCGTTGTTAGTAAAAATAAATTTCTGGGGTTATACATGGCATCAAACTAGACCATTTCTTCTAAGCGTAGAAGCCAGAGAATAAGTTAATTCTGTAATAGAAGTATGTGGCATGCTGAAATATGAGGTTTTAAAAAGAGCACTCCACGAAAACTGAGGCAAGACTCTAAGCAGAGCAATATTACAGACACACGTTAACTGCCAAGAAGGTTTTGTCATGGGTAGCAATTCACGGAGGGTTTTGGTAACATGTTTCTTTTGCTTTGTTTGCACCAAGTAGAAAAGCCACAAGTCTAGGCATTTTCTTTTATAATTTGTTAAATTTTATTAAATTTATTGGGGTGACAGTGGTTGATACAATGGTAAAGGTTTTAACGCACGGTTGATTGATATGTCGCATGTATGTTGTGTGCCGTGTCGCCACCAGAGTCAGATTTCCTTCCTTTGCTGGTAAGGGAGGGTTTTATTTTGATATTCGCAGAGTGGCAGGGACATTTCAAGAAGAGAACGTCAAGGCCAGCGGAGAGAGTAAACCGATCAAGGCAAAGCATCAACGGGATGAGGTTACTAGGAGGCTCCTGGCAGCCGGAAGGGCTAGTTCAAGTTCCACAGTTAACCGTCTGCGGCAGACCCAGAAGTCACGTGTAGCAGGTAAATGGCATTAAAACGAATTAGGAACCATTAGAAGAGACTAATTCCGAACAACATATTAATATAATGTAGGCCTCTTTTAATCCACTGGTGTTAATAAACAATTCAACTCTCAAACATTTGCTTTAATATTAATTTTGTTGTATCGAGAGGAATCTTTTTATTCGGAAGCTGGAAGTCGGGGGGTCTAATTGAGTCCATTCTATCCAGAACCCCATCCTCTCCCAGCTTCCTCTTTCACACGTGATGGAGAAAGAACACGGAGTTAGGTCCAAAACTGCCAGGTAAATACTTGACTGTGAAAATTAGCACACAACAAATACCTGTTAAGGAAA